GGGAGGAGCCCACTGTAACAGCGTCACACACCACATACATGGTTGGTTTTTGCGACGAGCGACGATGTGTTTCACGGTGTCGTACTCGATTTCCTTCTTAAGCGGCCTCCAGGAAGGGGAAGGAAGGTTGTACTCCCCTAATGTTACCCGCCGCCCCCTCTAAATCCGTACACACCGTACACACTCTTTTACACATACGCACCCGCGCCCAAACCGTTCCGCTTACATACATACAAACATACACCCGGACAGCTGCTTGGGAGTCCTCAGACCGCGATGGCCATCCTGCTGTACCTGCTGTACCACTGTCCGCACTGCCTGGCGGCGGCGGCGGGGACAGGGGCCGTGACCCGTGGTTCATCACAGTCACAAGCACGGCCACTGGCACTTGGATGGAAAGACGTGTTCAAGGTAAGGGTATGTGTTTGTGTGTGTGTGTGTGTGTGTCTGTATGTATGTCTGTATGTGTGTGCGTGCGTGGGTGAGTTTCCGGTCTGCGTGGTGGGGTGGGGTGGGATGGGGTGGGTGGGTGGGGTGGGGTAAGTTGTCTTCTAGGGTTTTTCTTTTTGTGTTACTGTTACCCCACCACACCACCCCCTCCCTCACCACACCAACCCGCCCCCACCACATAACCCACCCCGCCCCCACCCCACCACCACACCCACACCTCTTTGGTCTTCACCGCCGCCGCCAGGCCCTTCGTGCCGTCAAGTGCCGTTACCCCGACGGCAACTCCCGAGTGGGGGTTTGGGACCCCGAGGAACTTGTACGGCAGTCCAGTGACGTGTCCGCCTCCACATCCCCCTCCCCATCCAGCCGGGGGTCGTCAAGTCCCGCAGCCTCGCAAACCTCCGCCGACCACCGCCGCCGCAGTGGCGGCGGCGGCGGTAGCCGTCACCGATCCGCATCCTGGCACGACGGCAGCGGCGCGCGGCGGCGTTCCCGCGGCTACCATCGCAACCACCACCACCACCACCATCAAAACTCGCGTCATCGGGATACGTACGACAAGGATCCGTACGGGGCACGGTATCGGGCTGGAGTTAGTAGGGGGCCGTACGGCCCCGACATGGCGGAGGTGTACGATCCAAGTATCTATGGACCTGGGTACAACCCCGTTTACGGCACGCGCGGATCGAAGTACGGCGCGCCGTACGATGTGCCGCCGGAGGTGGCGGCGGCGGCGCAGGCCGCGGCGATGGCGATGGATCCGGCGGCAGTGGCGGAGCTGCAGCGGGTGTCTAGCTTGAAAAAGTCGTACAGTTACACGTCAGCGGCAGCAGGTTTGGTTTCGGAGGACGCCGGCGCGGCGGCGGCTGTACGGCAGCGCATCGCGACAGACCTGCGTATGTCGCGAGTGCGCTCCGCGCGGCAACTGAATCTCTCCGAACTAGCGCGACGCAAGGTGCACCCTACTCGCCGTACTGTCACACTGGAGTCGTACACGGCGCCCGATGGCCAAAAGTATGGTTTGGATTCTGCGACTGGTGAGTCCATCAGACCAGAAAAGCGACAGTGTGGCTGCGGCTGCGGTATATAATCCCCTCCGGAAATCCCCTCCCCCTCCCCGCGCTTTTCCCCCGCCTTGCCCCTCTCTTCCTCTTCGTAGGACTTGTGTATTTCCTGTCTGCCTCCCCCGAGTACCCCGAGCTGGCGGGCAAGCTGCGACCCAGCGGGGAGTTCACTCCAGGAGGGGGCTCCACGGCACCGCTGCAGGTATACAGTTGTGTTGATGTGTGTATGTATGTATGATGTATTTAACCGGGCCAAACACTGCCCAGAGGCTGCTGCGCAAACCCAACGGAAAGGGCTCGTGTGTATGTATGATGATGTGCGGGGCAGGAGGGTCATATCTTTACCCTGCGGCCGCTACCTTCCCTGACAGGTCTCGATCTCGGAACTTCCAGGGGCATCGGTGTGTGCGCTACCAATAATACATGACCTGCATAACTAGATAGTGCCAAACCTATATCGAATGATACATGAAGTTGCGAATTGCTAGGATCGAACTAGCGACCTCTAGATCTTCAGTCTAGCGCTCTCCCAACTGAGCTAAATCCGCTTATATGTATAAGATTACAAGGTTTATCCTGATATAGAACAAAATCAGAGGAAGGGAGCACTCAGCACGGCTAGATTTGCGTACTCCCCACCACCCCGACTCAGGCTCTAGCCAACACACGACGCAGCCACTCCTCAGCACCTCTGTCCGGGGGGATGGCGCTGCAGTGAAGACACACCACGAAGGGCTCTCAGGTCCCGCTAAAGCGAGTCCACAAGTCTCAGCTAGGGCAAAGGCAAAAGCTCTCTGATCCCTTCCCCCCCAAAACACAACCAGTGACAAAGGAACCCAAGGGAAGAAAAAATGTGTGCTCGGAATTCAGAGCACAGCGCTCGGAATCTACCACTCAGCCTTCCCCCTCGCCCCTGCCCCCCTTCTTTGACGAATCCAGACCGTCTTCAACAAGCTCCGTACATTGGACGAGGCCGTACTGGTGCAGCTTTTCAAAGCGTATGACACGTGAGTCATGGGGATACGGCATTACACCCTTCCACCGCCTTAGCCACCTTTTTTAATTTTAAACTAAACGCCCCCACCCCGCAATTCCTCTTGTGTCCCCTTTGCCTCTCCAACGGGGCTTGTGGCCTTTGGTCCCTCACTTGTTTCTTGATATTGGCAGTTGCAGTTCTTTACTTTTGAAATATAGCTGCATATTATATCATATATAATCCTCCAAACTATTTTTGGAGCTTCATCTGTATCCTATCTGTGACTTATTATACCGTATGCGCCACCAAGTAATTAAATCCCCTCCCCATACGCACACTCACATATTTTCCCATCCTTTTCAACATACATACAGACAGACAGACTCACATACATACATACAGGCTTACATACACACATACTGACATTCCCCTCCCCTCCGCAGTAACAACAACGGCACTCTGGAGCTGAAGGAGCTGATGGCGTTACTGCGTGACGTCACCGGATTGCCGTACGCGGAGGCGGGACTCGTACAGGTATATTTGTATATATATGTATATATCTATACATATATATATATATATATATATATATATATTTGCGCATTTGTGAGCTCGTACATGTACGTAAATGCACGTAGGAGACGCAGCTTAGACATGCGTGTGCATATGTGTGTGTATGCGTGTCCCTCTTTCCCCCTCCATCTCCCGCTCTCCCCCCGCCCTAACAGGCTCTCCTCGACGTGGACCTCAGCTCCACCCTCACACTGAAGGAGTGGATGGAGGGCATCCGGGCCTCAACGGACTCCCTAGATGCCGCGTCGGCCGGGCTGGCTGGGGGCGGGGGAGGGGGCGGGGGAGGGGGCGGGGGAGGGGGAGGGGGTGGCAGTAGTCGTGTGCAGCGGAACGCGCTGATGGTCCTGGCGGCGGTCAGCAAGCAGATCGCGGCGGACCTGGACGTGTTCTGGGCGGCATACGCGCGAGCCGACAGAGATGGGTGAGAAAGGGGTTTCGTGTGTGTGTGGGAGTATCTGTATGTGGGTCTGTGTGGAGGGGGCTGTTTGTGTATGTGTGAGAGAGGAGGGGAGGAAGGAGAGGGGAAAATGAGGGAGGGCGGGAGGGAGGGAGGGCGGGAGGGAGGGAGGGGGGAATGGGAATGGGGAGAAGGGCCCCACGACCTCCGTCCTCCTACGCCGCATTTCTCACCGCCACAAAGCCCCCCATACACACACGGACATATACACATACATACACACATGCACTCGTGCCCTCCCAGCACCCCCAGCACTCCCGCCCGCTCCGCCCGCTTTTCTCTCCCTTCCTCGCACACACCCCAACCGCCAACCGCCAACCGCCAACCCCCTCCTCAGTAACGGCTACCTGGACATCGCCGAGCTCACCCGTTTCTTCAAGGACCTGTTTCGCGACATGCCGCCGTACGACCTCCGCCTGCTGGTGGCTCATTGCTTCACGGCGCAGATAGACAGAGATGGACTTGTACGGCCTGATGAACTGCTGCAGTACCTTCGGTACGATACAATGTATATGTGTGGTGGTTTTGGGGGTTAGGGGGAGCGTGTGTGTGTGTGTGAAGGGGTCGGGGGTGGATTGTGCTTTAAGAGCTTAGAGTTTTCTTATAGTGTGTTTTTGTGTGCGTGTGTGTGTATGTATGTGCGTTATTATATTTGCCTAAACCACCTGTGTAAGATACACGCTAGTTCAGTTTTTGTTTTTGTTTCAGTTTCTGTTCCTGGTCGCTTTCTCGGTCGGCAGCGGTCGGCAAATCGGTTTCTACGGCTGCGGGAGGGCATAACGGCTGCGGTCGGTAAAACCTAAAATAAATTCTAAGTCAAACACAGAGTTCAAGTTCAGCGCGCGGCCCTACGAGCCGCAATAGAGGGGCTGCAAATCACGTCTTTGGGTCAAATTTTGGCCATTAGGGACCCGCCGCCTTACGGGGCTTAAGTCGAATTTCGGCTGCGGGTACTCGCAGTACCCGCCTTATTTGCCGACCTCGGCTCGGTGCTTCGTTAAAACGTCTTCCCTCCCTTCGGTTGCCGCTTACCCCCGGGGGGCATATTCACAGGGCCATTCCGTTAGAAGCCCCCAACGGTAAGCCGTACAGTGGGGGGGAAATGGAGGGTGCATGGGGTAAATGAGATGGGTGTTTAAAAGGTTTGTGTCTGTCTGCCTGAATGTTTGTTTGTCCTCCGCAGACTCAATCATACCCCGGCTGTCTGTCTTTGCAAAACCCAAATGAAAAACTGTTATTATTATTAAAACCCCCGACAGTGTATTTCAAAATTTTACTTGAGTAAATCCTTTTATGAAACGAATACGATAATATAAAAACAATTTTTTTTTATAAAAACCCTGTTTGGACAACGAAGTATTTCTTACGGAAATCAATATGATGCCTTCGCGGTTGTGCTACGGATGCTCCCACTCCTCCCACTCCCCCCTTCCAACCCCCCTCAACACACACACACACACACATTGCATCATATTGCCGTATGTCATGTCGCCGGATGTCCTGTTTAGGCGTCACGCACCGCCCCGGCTTCCGAGTGCCCTCCGTGGGCTCAGCCAAGGCCGGGCTGATGGACTCCATCCGCTCAATAAACCCTAACGCCCGCCTCAACTACGCCAAGGGCCTTACGGTAAGCGGTATTAATTCTTGCGGTTCTTGCGGTAGAGGGTCTGCATGTCTGTCTGTATGTGTGTAAACCTGTATGTGCGTTTGACTTGTCTTTGACCTACCTATGAACCTCCTCCTCTTGTGGTTTGGCCTTTGGCCCCACCATCGCCATCTGAACCATAATCATCATCACCATCGTTATCCATGATTGTATATATGTATGTATGTGTGTATATATGGCTGTGCGATTGCAGATCGAGGTTCCCGACGGCTCTGCGGTGGGCAGCGGGGGCCCCGAGTCCCTAGCGGCTGGACTACCGCCAGGTACGTGCAGTTGTACGGGTGCAGTACAATATCCGTCAAATCCTGGAGACTATGGACTAGAAATATTGAAATTCGATTACATCATACAACCACCACCAACTCATCAATATTCAAAATAGCACTAGGGATATGCAACCACCTTTTTGAAAAACTGATTGTCACTGAAGATCTGAGTATTGTGAAGGATCGACCGATGCAGGGGTCGAACCTGCGACCTGAGCCTTAGGAAAGCTCCGCTCTATCCACTGAGCTAAACGGCCTCCCTGATGATGATGTTAAAATCCAATCACACTCGAGGACACGATAGATGGTGGGAGAGCAAGTTACACCGTACAACCGACGGCGGTTTGGGCCCTTAAGTAGACCCCTCAACATGCAGTTAGCCCAGCATTCGTAGAGATAGATCAACCACCTCGACCTACTCAGCATGCGAAACTTAGCTAAATTAATTAGCCATATTAGCATATTTATTTGGCCTCCATGGTGACATTCCTAATTCCCGTACGACAGCTAACCGTAGTAACCGTACGCCGTACATTGTACTACATCCACCGTGAGTCCATCGGGTGTTTGAACAACTTCTTCGCAGGTCACAACTTCCTGTCATCGCTTCACCTACATCACCAGCAAGCCGCACCGGCCTTAGGGGCGGGGCTGATGTACGGCGGCGGCGGCAGCGGCGGTATCCCACTGACACCCCACAGCACCGCCTCCTTGGCGGCGCTGACGGCCGCCGCCAGCGGCGGCCTTGCCGTACCGCCATACGTTCCTGTACCGGTGCCGGTGCCGTACATGATGCCGCCCACGCCGCATGGCGGCGGCGTCAATGCCGCTGGGGGCTCAATGATGGGATACTTGCTGCCGTACCAGCAGGATATGTACCAGGCCCTCATGGATAGACTGGTAAGTTTAGCCAGCCCCGTGGGAGAGGGGGAGGAGGGGAGAAGGGGAGGGAAGGGGGAGGTAAAGGGGGGAAGGGGGAGGAGAAGAGGGGAAGGGGGAGAGGGAGAGGGGGTGGAGGACGTGGGGAAGGGGGAAGGGGGAGGAGGGGTTTAGCAGCGCCGTTCGTGGGGAGCGGGAGATCTAAGGCGCCACCACCACCACCACCACCACCACCACATGGCGGGTCACAGGGATTTCTCTCTCCTCCCCCCCCCCCCGGCCGCCGTCGATCCATTCCGCCACAGACGACACCGCGAACCTCGTTCGCGGGGTCCAGGAGCGGGCGCCGTACATCCATATCTTCCGTACATACACCACGCATGTCCGAGGCGGGTACGGCATACAGCGGCGCCGGAAGTGATGGCACTCCGTTGTCTTCAGATCACGAGGATGAGGCAGCGGCAGCGGCGGCGGCTCCGTCGCCGCCACCGCCGCCGCCACAGTCGTTGAGGTCTTCGTACCCATCACCGCCGCCGCTAGACACCGCGGCGATACCGCCGCCGCCGCCGCCGTACGTCGAGCCGCCGCCGCCGCCGTATCCCAATGAAGCACAGCCGCTGCCGTACGGCACGAACTATTCACGGAGGACGAGCTACCCTGGCAGCTATTATGGCAGCGCGCATGCGCCCTACCATCCACAACATCCCCCGCACATGTACGACAATCCTTCAGGACCGTACGGCGCGCAGCAGTACGGGTCAGTTTCACCGGCAACAGGCAACGGCAACGGCTTCGGTGCCGTTTCGGAGCTGGAGCGCATTGTGACGAACGACCCAGCGGTAGGTGTCCTGTTCTGGCAATATGTATTTTTCCCTTTCATTTTAAATGTTGCCTTTTTAGCCTCCTTGTCCTTGAAGCCCTATGCTAATAAATACACGCGCACGCGCTCCTCCACATTAATCCATATCTCCCCTAATTATTGGGGTTTTACGGCTCTCCCCCGTCTTCCCCCCCTTCGCCCTCAAATCCATATGAAAGGCTTTCCACAACAACTTCTCCGCAAGCTCCAGACGGGTTCCTATTAGCTCAGTTGCCGCCGTACGACGGCCGTACACTGTACGGCAGCCGAGTGGTTACACGTACGTGGTTCCCCGTGCAGCGTTAGGGCAGGTGGGTACGGCAAGGGATTTTAGGGGGAAGGGGGGAAGATGAAGTTAGCCTTTGAGAGAGTGTATGTATGTTGTTACAGGGTGGTTAACTTCGCCAGCGGCCCCCTTTCCCGGGGCAGTCCCTGCTCTCCCCTGCTAGAGGGGCACCCTAATCCGTCACCCCATCCGACTTCAGAATGTATTCGTTGGGTTCGGCAACTCACCACCAGCATCCAACCAAATCTAGCGGATCAACGGCGCCTCAACTTAGTTCCTGGTCAGCTCGCAAGTTGATATTATCACGTCCTACACCGTCCATAAGATGGGGGGCCACCTCCCATTTCATCACTCCTCAAACACCAGAGGAGCCGGCAGGTGGATTTGAACCCGGGTCGACTGGGTCGACTGGGAGCAGAAGTCAGGCCTTAACCTCTGCCAGCCGCCTGCCTCAAGTGTATGTATGTGTGTATGGAGGGGGGCCGGAGAGAGAGGGGGATATGATGGCGGTGGCTCCCGTTCCCGGGGAGGAGGATGAAAGCTGCGAGGTCTGTACGTCTGTACGTCTGTCGCGAGCGGGCTTTGAATACTTGCAGCGTTTGCCCCGCGACTTCCTCTGTCTTTCCGTAACTCCCTTGATCATTAATAACTACCAACCAAAAAATGTAGTTTTTAAGCCCCAAGTAACCAACCGTTAATCATCTCTTCTTTCCGTGCTTCCCCCCCACCCCATCTAACGTTACTGTCCCGTCCTGGCTTCTTCGTACGCACATACACGCATACATACGTGCTCACATACATCCTCACATACATACATACATAAATACATACATCCTCACAAACTTATAACCCACCCTACCTACATACATACATACAAACACAAGCAGCTAATCAACCGAGTGTATCCGGGATTACGGGACCGCGAGCGGGCCTACCTCGTGGGCGTGCTGGCCGCCTGCCTGCCGTACAAGATGGCGTCGTACACGGAGGATGACGTACTGCATGCGGTACGCCAGGGCGCAGCCATTGAGCGTGCGGTTCAGGAGCGGCGGCTTCCCGGGGACATGGTGGCAGTGGCGGCCCGGCTGGCGGATGACGTCATGGGTAATGCCGCAACGTACGGCACGGCGAGGTGAGTACGACAGTATGTTTGTACAGCGTAGCACGACTTGGATGGTTCGCGATTCATGATGCAACCAGCCGTACCCGCACCCCGGCCCCGTGGTGGGTTGTAGCACTCGCAGGCGGCGGGTCATCGGTGATGTATGATGTGTGAAACAGGGGGGTGTATCTTCGCCCGTGGCAGCTACCCTGCGAAACCCTGCCTTCCCCGGTATTTTCGGGGCACCCTCATCCAGTCACCCTAGTCAACTTCTCAGTGGATCGCTCAGGTTCCGCACCCACCACCAGCATCCAACGGAATCTGCCGGGTCGACAGCGGCCCAACTCCGTTCCTGGTCGGCTCGCAGGTTAACTTTATCCCAGGTCACCACCGTCCATCAACTAGGGGCGCAATGCCTTCCACCATCGGAAGGACTTTTGACCCTAACGGGTATCGATCCCGGGATCTCCCGGGGGCAATGGTCGCGCCTTACCAGTGGTGCCAAACCCTATGTATGTATGTATGTATGTATGTATGTACTGTACGGGGGGTTGGAGAAGGAGCGGGGGCCGGGGAAGTCGTTTTCCAATGCCCCGGCGCCATATCATTCCCTTTCCTTTCCCTCATGTCGTATGCCGTACGTCTTCTGTCGTACTTCCCACAGGACGGCTTTCCAGGAGGCGGATCGCTTCCGCCGGGGTTACTTGCCGCTGACGGAGGCGGCCCGCATGCTGACGCGGCTGAATGCCGTACCACCCACGGCTGTGGCCTGGCTGATGGCCGGCCTGGCACACTACGCCGCGACTGCACTACAGGGCGCAGCCGACCTGTCGTACAAGGAGCTCGGCGCCGGGCTGCTGTATATGTCGGATAGCGCTGCCACCGCGGCCGCTGCCCCGTCAGCACAGCTGCCTTATTATTCATCATATGATCAAAAGGACAGCTATGCCGTACCACCGGATAGTACTACGCCGTACCCGTCGCCGTTCACGGGGCCGCATTACCCAGTTCAGCAACCGCCGTACGGCGCTGGGGGACCATCGTACGGTGCCGCTGCGCCGTCGTATGTGGAGCGCTACCCGTCTCTAAGCTCCGTACCATCAATGGGAACGGCACCGCCACAATCACCAGGATCGTACGACAGCCGATACCCTCTATCACCTAGGGTATCGTACAGCGGTCCCCCGCCACCGTACGGCTCTCCACATCCGTACAACCATCCTCCAAATCCGTACGGCGGCCCTCCGAGCCCACACGGAGTCTCGCCGAACCCATACAGTGCATACCCAATGGGCCCGTACGGCAGTCCGCCATTGTCACCCCACGTGGGATCCCTTTCGTACCCAGGGATGCCGCCGCCGCCGCCGCCGCACTCGCCGTACGGGTCGTACACCGCTGCCAGCCACATCCCCGTTGCGACGGCGTTGGACTACCCGACCGCCCCACTGGCCGCTGGTGGCGGCCCGGCGGCGGCGGCAGGATTATCTCTCGGTACGGCATACATGATGTGGACGCACGACAATCGGCAAGCTGTCGTCCAAAAGTACGTTACGAGCCGATAGACCGACAGCTGAATTGAACTGGGAACTGTATTTGGTGATAGCGGTATGGGAGAACTAACTTACCCAATCACCATCTGTATCGCCATATTGACTTAGGGGGTTACAATGCCCTAAATTTCACATGTGTCCTATTTTGGCACTACTGTTTATCACAGCGACTGTGTGTTTGCATCCGTCCGTCCGTCCGTCCGTCCATCCGTCCGTCCGTCCGTCCATCCGTCCGTCCGTCCGTCCAGGCACTTGTCGGAGGTGCTCAAGGGCCGGGTGGCGGAGCTGGAGGTCCAGAAGGGCGCCCTGGAAAAGGAAGCCGGGCTGCAAACCAAGATACTGGACTTGTCTAATGCGCTGCTGGCGGTGGGTGGCGGTGGGTGGCGGTGGTTGGGTGGAGTGGTTGGGGTGGTTGGGTGGAGTGGTTGGTGTGGTTGGGTGGAGTGGTTGGGGTGGGGCAAGCCACGCGAGGACGGTCGTGTGTGTGCGCGCGCGCGCGTGTGTGTAGTGTGTGTGTGTGTGTCTGATAGAGAGAGAGGGAGAGAGGGAAAAATGAGTGAGGTAGTGACCAGGAGTGTAGGGGAAGGTGAGGTGCTGGTTCCCCTCTCCCCTTTTCCCACCCACCCACTCACCCCGGCGCCCCTCCCCGCCCTCCACCTCCTCCTCCTCCTCCTTCCCCCTCGCGCATCGCACCAATCCATCCATCAATTAATCGACCAACCAACCAACCAACCAACCAACCAATCTCAATCTCAATACGCAGAACGAGACCGCCCAACGGGACGTGTTGGGTCTCATCCAGAGCTACACGGGCGCCGGCACTCCGCCGGTCAGCGTGGCGGAGATGGTGGGCCGCATCCGCACGACCTTGGAGGAGGCCCTGCAGCTGGCCAAGTCCGCAAGTGCACCAAGTCCCCTGGGGGGCCCGGGGCTGGGTCAGGTGGGGCCGCTAGGGCCGCCGGAGGGCGGTGAGGAGGGGGGTGAGGAGGGAGTGCATGGGGACGTGCATGGTGCAGCGTGCCTCTGTATGTATGTATGTATGGGTGGGTGGGTGGGCTGGGGTTCGTTAATATGTAAGTGCGCTTGTGTGAATGTGTGAGGGTTACAAGTATCTGACAATGCCTGACACTGGCCACAGGGGCTGCTGCCCAGCCCAAACACAAAGACCGCCTGGCTAAGCTCTCTTCCCCCGGACGGGGGAGGGGCGCGAGGGGGCTCTGTCCTGCCCCCTCCTAAGCAGCGAGGAGAGCCGCAGGTCCGCTCTCCTCCCCCCCGGGGGTGGGGAGACGTCGCGCTTAGTGTGTGTGTGTTGTGTGTTGTGTGTTGTGTCGGGGACGTCGTCCCTGTCGCCTGTCTTTGCCCTCTCTCCCCACCCACCCGCCTTGTGTGGGGTATCAACCACCACAACCACCACAACCACCACAACCACCACAACCACCACGTAGGGCGCTTCGGGACCCTCCGACTTCGATTCGTTGCTGGACGCGCTGACCAACGCGCGCTGGGTGGGGGGTCAGCCCGTCAGCACCGAAACCCTCCGTACGGCACTGTCATTGCGACGGGACGCGTTCGCATTGCGGAGGGCCCATACGGCGGCCATGTTGGAGCTGGAGGCACGGCGCCAGTGAGTGGCGCCAGTGTATATTGCCTTGCCTTGCCTTTACTTGCTTTGCTTTGCCTTTACTTGCTTTGCTTTGCCTTTACTTGCTTTGCTTTGCTCGAGTCCTCTCCGCTTTTAGTTCTCTTTAAATCCTCTTTTAATTCTCTTTCCCCAAAATCCGCTGTATAAATAAATAAAGTCATATATCCCCCTTCTTGCCTTCCCTTTCCTGGGCCGGCTGTACTGTCTAGCCGGGGGCCCCCGCCTTTTAGCTTCCTTTGCCGTTGCCCCCCGCAACTCGACATCTCCCCCCCCCTCACGCCCCTCTGCTCATCATTGTCCATCTCCAGCTCCTTCGCGCCCTCCCAGCCACCTTTAAAACTCTCCCTTGTAAAGCTGTGTGTGTGTGCGTGTGTATGTGTGCCTCGCCATTTCACCTGACAGGGGTATGCAGGTGGCGAGTCAGGAGGCCCAACAAGCCATGTCCATACAGCTACAGCTGCTACAGGTGCGTGTGTGCGTAACAAGGGGACAGAGAGCTCTCACTGCGAGGTGGTGTGAGAGGGTGTGTGTGTGAGGGTGTGTGTGTGTGAGGGTGTGTGTGTGTGAGAGTGTGTGTGTGTGAGAGGGTGTGTGAGAGAGGGTGTGTGTGAGAGAGGGTGTGTGAGAGAGGGTGTGTGTGAGAGGGTGTGTGTGAGAGGGTGTGTGTGTGAGAGGGTGTGTGTGAGAGAGGGTGTGTGTGAGGGGGTGTGTGAGAGAGGGTGTGTGTGTGAGAGAGGGTGTGTGAGAGAGGGTGTGTGAGAGAGGGTGTGTGAGAGAGGGTGTGTGAGAGAGGGTGTGTGTGAGAGAGGGTGTGTGTGAGAGGGTGTGTGTGAGAGGGTGTGTGTGTGAGAGGGTGTGTGTGAGAGAGGGTGTGTGTGTGAGAGGGGGTGTGTGAGAGGGGGTGTGTGAGAGAGGGTGTGTGTGTGAGAGGGGGTGTGTGAGAGGGGGTGTGTGAGAGAGGGTGTGTGTGTGAGAGGGGGTGTGTGAGAGGGGGTGTGTGAGAGAGGGTGTGTGTGAAAGGGTGTGTGAGAGAGGGTGTGTGTGTGAGGGTGTGTGTGAGAGGGTGTGTGAGAGAGGGGGTGTGTGTGCCGCTCGTCTTTTCCAATGCACCTCCTCTCGCGGGTCCTTTCGTCGGTCCTTTGTGGCGCCCTTGCAACGGGGGGATGGGGGGGGATGGGTGGCCGCCACACTCCGCTTTAACCTTTTCACACAACCACGCCCCCTCCCCTTCCCCCCAGGCCCAGCTTCAGCGCCAGGCTCAGGAGCTGCAGCAGCGGCTCATGGCGGAGGCGCAAACC